GGGGTCGGACAAATGACTTACGGCACCCCCTTTTCCGAAATACGTGTAGAAGTTTACCAACAATGAACGGTTTCGTCGGTTTGGCCGGAGACATCCCGCGAAAAATGACCCACGGCACCCCCGCCCCAAAATGGTTCATTTTGGTGGCGCATTTGTTGCAGCCGTGTCCCCAAGAATATAGTTCCTGAAATTTGTCAAACGTGTTAGGCACGCGTTGAGATGCGTCCAAACTAACATGACCTTCTTTCATGTCCGCTCCCACGTGGGAAATCCTTGCCACGAGTGTTCCGACTCATGGTGCAAGACAGGTAAAGCAGTAAGCATTGATGTGCCAGAGTGGATCCTGGGGAGTTTGTGCTTGCGAGAAGAGATGGAGTGGGATTGGATCCGTCGCCTCCCCAGAGCTTTTCGCGCCCAGTAACCCCCCAGGGCCAATGGAGACTTCCGAGGGCCGATCCAGGTCCAACAAGCGGGAGCGGAGGACATGCATAAGCCAATCATTGTAGACACGAGGTCTGCCTCAGTCGAGGTCGATTTTGAAGTTGCCACTTTCAACGCTCTCTCTGCGCTCGACAGGGACCCCAATTTTCTCCTCCCCAAGCCTACGAAACGGCTGGGTAACAAGACCCCGCACGAAGTGGCCAGAAAAGCCAGGGCCCACGGACCCCACCTCAGGCTTCAGTTTCGAGAGGCCCAAGTCCTCCTGGCGGGGGTCCAGGAAGGCCGAAACTCCAAGGGGGCCGAAACATTCACCCGGGTACGAGGTTGTCTCCTCAGGAAATGTGAAAAGAAATCTTGGGTGTGAGCTGTGGCTTGCTACTGACGTGCAAGACGGATTCAAGGGAGAGGAGCAGTCGTATCTCGGGAGGAAGAACGTTCAAGCATTACATGCTGACCCGAGGCGCCTAGTGGTCGCCATTACGGCCGCTCATGTTCAGCTCCGAGTTGCAGTGTTGCACGGCCTCACAGCACTTATTTTGCCACCGAGGGCGAGCGAGGCAGCTGGTGACGTGAGACCAACGATTAAGTTAAAATGTTTTGCAGTTGCCATTTTCCGTGTACGACGCCAACAGGAGAGTTGGCTCACTCGCTTCTGACAGTGTAGGGGGGAAAGGGTTTAGTCAGCAGGAAGATAATGGGGGAGAGTATTCCCATAGCCACCTTAAGGCCACGAAGCTTGTTGCCCTTAATACCGTGCTCCCCCAGGCCTCCGAAGGTCTCACATGGGCTTGTAACAACGGGTAGCCCCATAGACTCGATTACGTTTGCTCCGACATGGATCTCGCTACCGTTGCAGTTGACACGCACGTGTGGCATTCCATAGACACCCAACATGTCAAGCCAGACCATTTCCCAACGATCGCTCACTTCAAGAGGCCAGCGGTTGAGACTACCGTCAAGGTCTATAGCGTACGATCCCCGCAAGAAGGCCGACGAAGAGCGATGCAATGACTTCCGAGCAAGAGTCGCGTCCATTCTGCTAGTGAATGAGGAAGTCGGGGTTCACGAGCATGCTAGAAGATTGGAAGAAAGGGTCCTCAATGCCGCTGCTGCTGCGTTTCCCGTGGACCCTACCCCCCTCGTTCAAGCCATATGTAAAGCAGGGGACCCTCAGCATTATCCAGCTTAGGAAAAATATTCGTACCATCTTGCGCGCGTGCAGGCGAGTGGATGCGAGCGGCGTGCACGACCTCGCCCAGCAGTGTCTTGCCTCTCCGCCGCCCTTGCTCCGAGGAGTGCCAGACAAGGCGCAGTCTTTTTGTTGGCCGGCATGCAGGCAGCTCGGAAGTGGGGGACCAATGAGTTCTCAGTCGAAGGCCCGGTGAACGCAGGCGCCATGTTCATGAGGCTTTCCCATGCGGTTGTAAAAAAAACTCGTTGTCCAAGCTGAAACTGGGCTGCTAGAGACATTGGGCGGGCAACTGACCACGTCGCTGACTGCTGGGGCGGTCCGAGGAGTGGAACATCCAGAAGGCCCTGGCCCGTGTCGGAGGGGCCAAGTCCAAGTATGCCCCAAGCCCACCTCCCCACGTGAGCGTTTTTTATCCGGCGTTTAGACATCGGGCGGAAAGGGCCGGAGGGGGGGGGATTTGGCCCTGGACCCCTGCTTCAAGGGACTCTTTGCGACAGGGCGTTCATGTTGGGGGGGGGGGCTCCATCCACTCGGAACAGGCGCCAAAACACGGCCGAGATCCACTCCAGGGGGGGAGGGGGGAAGGGGGGGAGGGGAGGCAGAGAGGGGAGGAGGGGGGGGGGAGGGGGGGAGGGGGGAGGGCAAGCTAGGTGCGCTCGCGTCATATCTGACATCCTACCCCTCCCTCCCATCCCTTACCATGGCGTAGATCCCCTCTCTACTCACACAGTCGGATGTCGAGCAGGGCAATGATCCCGAAAGGGTACGCGATGCATTGTAGAGCACGGCATGGCATGGCGTAGAAGAGCACCGCAAAGCGTAGCATCAACCTAGCATTGCATTGCATGCCGTGGCATGGCACGGGAAATGACGCCAGCGCTGCAGCGGGAGCACGAGTCGAAACGAGCGGAAGCGCGGAAATGAGGCCAGCGCTGCAGCGGGAGCACGATTCGGAACGAGCGGAAGCACGGAAATGAGGCCAGCGCTGCAGCGGGAGCACGATTCGGAACGAGCGGGGCCCGAAAATGAGGCCGGCGCCTCAGCGAGAGCAGCATTTTGAAAACAATGCAGGCGAAAACCCAACTCCGGGGAAACCTGTGTAAAAAAACAATGCGCGGGGGGGGTCGAGCACTTTCAAACCGTCATCAGGGGAAGAGGGAGAATAGTATTCATATTGAATAATTGTGGAGGGGGGGGGGGGGGAGGGGGGAGGAGAAGGGGGGGAGGGGGGAGGGGGGGGGGGGAGGGAGGAAAAGGGGGGAGGGGGGGGAGGGGAGGCAGAGGGGGGAGGAGGGGGGGGGACTGAAATGTTTGTAGCTAGCGAACCCGCATCCGTGAGCATTCATGCGATCACGGTCGAATATCCTCTTACAACTAAGCCTGCCTGCATGCTACTAATCATACAACAGATACTACACTTGATCTTAGCCAAGAGGGAACACGAAATCTCACTCTCATTCTACTCTCTAGGAAAACTGTGCAAAGATTAAGGCAGCCCGAGCGGCGCCTTCCACACGCTACATTGATGTCGGAAATGTTCTCCAGCACGGTGCTGAAGTTCACGAAATAGTACAGTAATCCAGAAACCATAGAGAGTGATAAATCTGAAAATACTCTCCCTTGTGATGCTCGTGCAGCCAATCTAGTCGAACCTCTGGATACTCTCCAAGTCAGACTCTGAGAAAACTCCAGGTCGATGTAACATACGCTTGCAGGTTATCGGTTTCTTGCTTCCATGAAACTTGGCGATGCCGGTTGTGAGTAGATACATGAGCTGAGGAAATGTTCCAGGTTTCGTCAAGGCGTCACTCAGCATCACGTCCGTGGGAATGTGCAATGTATTTCGCACTCGTCCTGTCATCCTTTCTTCTCTCAAGGCCATGATGGCCAGCCTCTGCTGACGGTCCTGAGGTACTCCTTTCAAGCCTGTCACCAGCTCGAACATGTCCTTGCAGTCCGTCAAGTGGTCAATCGCAACTACGTACTGGCCAGTGTTGTTCATCTCGATGAGAACGGAAATCATCTGCTTCGTGGTACAACTCAGAGCCAGGTGCATCTCTGAAAGTCGCATGGCCACCATCTGAGCTCCTGATACCACTGCCAATCCACAATTGGTCTCGCCCATCGAAGTCGAATGCGCAACCTTCTTGGCCTTGCTGCTTATCGCCATAAGTACGTGACATCTGCCAGTCAGAGCCGATGCGTCCAACAGCAAATGAGCCTCGTCAACCTTCAATTCCTTGTCCTCCATCAGCAACACGAACTGTCCTTCCTGAGGGTACACTGAAGACTTAGTAGTGTGGTTCGCATCGCCAACAGCTCGAAGACAGAACGGAGGACTCAGCATAGGATAGTGCAAGCCCACCAATGTCGTATCTCCTTGAGCTCGCTTGAGTAAGGCATTGGCCCTTTTGAGGTGCATGATTCTGGGCTCGTTGTTGAAACCTTGCAGCTGAGTCACCTCCGTCATGATGTGAAGGTTGCACTGACAGAGGAACAGCATCGATGTAAGTATGCTTCGGAACCCACGAGCAAACACTCCTGTCACCACTTTGTCATCAGCTCCATCGGGTACTTGGCAGAAAGGTATCTTGCTCAGGTGATCAACTTGTTGAAGCAATATCGTGCCGTCCTTCAGTCTCATATATTGTGCCCCATTGTGTGTGAATGGCAGCTGCTGTCTCTTCACCGCTCCGAACTTGCCTTCCAGCAACTTCCTCAGATACTCCAAGTGTTGAGAGCGTCCAGCTGACAAGAGGTCGTCAACATGAATGGACAGTGCCGCTGCGACGTCATCAATGGAGCGTGCTTCTTGAACTCTGTCACGAACTTCAGCCGGCAGATCGCGGTAGGTCCAGTAGACGAAGTTCTCGTCCCAAAGACTTACCCTCGCATGAAGCACATCCACCAAGAAAAGAGTGAGCGCCACCTGCCACAAGTGTGGTGCGTCGACCAGGCCGTACATCGGCTTCAGCAGCTCCAAAACAAATAGGTCGAGGTCCCACTCCTTCACGTGGATGCCACTGTTCGGCAGGCTGTCCAGCAGTCGCCAAACGTTAGCCGGAGGTGCCAGGAACACCTTGCGCACCGTCTCGCAGTTGATCTTGAGCTCCTTCGAACGACGTCTGATCTCATCGAAGCTCAGCCCTTGCAAGAAAGCCGTGCTGATGTCCCAGCTCTCGAGCTCGAAACCCTCGTGCACCTGCGCGGTCGAGACGATCAGCTTCTGACTCAACCTGCTGGCGGTGCTCGAGTGGCGCTGGATCTCGTGCTTCTGCTTGTCGAGGAAACCTCGTCCGCACAGCCGGCTCTTGATGATCCACTCCTTGCGTTTCGCATCGTACTTCCACTTCCTGACCCATGTCGCGTCGATGGCGTTGCTGCTGCCCATCGTGCGCCGTGCCTTGCACGCGAAAACCTTGTGATCAACAAAGGCCTGCAGCTCCTTCGAGTCAGCCTCTTCTACTAACTGCCAGTGGGTCAGAACGTCCTCCTCACTCAGGTTGTCAGACTCCTTCACGCCGACATGGGACTGCACCTCACCAGTGCGCATGCAGAACAGAAAACAAGTATCCTGGCGCCATGGTCCTCGAATACTCCACAAAGCCTCCTTGGAGTTCCATGGCAGGTCGCTCATCCGGATACTAGAGAGGTATGACTGCGCCTCACTGTGGCTCTCGAGGATGTGCGAGAGGGAGTCGTCAATGTAGGACTCCTTCAGCTGATTGACCGTCTCTGCTTCGCCAGACTGCCAGTTGATGACGCTGTTCATCGTGTTGTGACGAGCGAAGAGATCTCGTTCTCCGTCCATGAGTGGTACAGCGCCAGTGTCCTGACCATCTTCTGCTGTCTGGTCCAAGATGTTCTCCATCTCTCCCGTGAGGTCCAGCTCCTGAGGTTGTGAAGCTTCCACCTGTACTGGCTGATCTGCTTGATCGAGATGAGGTCTATCTCCTGGTGCAGGTGTGCCTTCATCATGATCATCTGTCCGCCGCCGTGGATGCCTCTGCTGCAAACTCATCGTGCTGGCTTGCTCCATGTCGTCATGATATCGTTTGTCGTGGGTCGTCCTCTCCAAATCTTGCCCGTCTGTCGCGGTCTCCATCCGCGGTACGAGCATGCTGTTTTCATCGTCAATGTCTGCCTGAACGAGGTCACTCAATTCCTTCGCGAGGTCGAGATCGTGAGCCTGCCCGGGTTCCAACACAGTAGGTGGAGTCTCCTCTGCCGTTGGCGACGTACCAGGTGCCAATGTCGTAGGCGGTCCAGTGGGGCTCACACGTTCCTCGCGATCGTCCAGTCGAACTCGTCGTGGTATGTCCGATGTAGGTGATTGACCTGATGTCGATGTCGCGATAGGTACATATGGGACCATCTGCACATCAGCGGAAGCTGGAGGAGGTGCCGCCGCAGTGTCAGTAGACCCTGGCCTCAAGATCGTCGGTGGCCCAACTGGGTTAGTATGAGCTTCTGTTTGGACTTGAGGTCTCATGCCCGATGTTGATGATGTGCCTGGTGTCGGAGTCGCTGTAGTCCTGATCGGGTTCTGGTCAATCACTTTGCTCAGTTCTCGAGATATGTCCATCTGTTCTGTCTCCTCCATGATCCTGCTGAGGTCCCGTGATAAATCCATGCTCGCATCCAGATCTCCAACAGGAAGTGATGTCCTTTGTATACCTTCATTCCCGACAACTGGAGGAAAAGGATGAGCAACTGATGGTGTCGAGGCCGTCTCTATTGGTCTCGACTGTGGTGCTGTAGATGCCGGTGTTGCAATTGCGCTTCCAGAGCGTACAGGTCGCCAGGGTTGTACAACTGGTTCCACAGGTGGAGCAACAATGACACCTTCACTCTGACGAGGTTGTGCCTCTTGTTGTGATGCCAACGGCTGTGTTGCTCCAGGATTGTCGACTGTGGCCTGATCCAGTTGACTCTTCTCCGCTGGCTGTGTGTCGGCTATGACGTCCTGATCCATCCAGTCGTCCAAGTCGGGAAGCAAACTTATCATGTCATGAACGTCACGGTTCACGTCGAGTACTGGCTCGATGCGAGACAGGTCATTCATGTCTGGCAAGTGGTGCTCGTCCAGGAAGGGGTCCAACTGTGATGGTATCGAATAGTACATCATGAACGAGGTATTCTCCCACTTGAAACTTACCAGACTGCCAACTGTCACGCCCTTGCTCGGGTCGATCTCGTAGGTCATGTAGTTGGAGCGATCCTTTCGTTCCCACAAGACAAGTAAGCCGAACCGAACTGCATGTAGTGGTGGTACCCTGCGTAGTGACGTGCCGTACAAGATGCCGTCCAAACCTTTTAGGTGAAATATCGTTCTGTACGTCATCATGCTCAACTTCCAGGGCTGAAGATTTACCAGTGTCTTGGCATCAAATGAGCACTTGACCTGACCATCCTGTGTGATTGTCCTGCCGAGCCGTGTCACCTGTCCATAGATGCTGCCGTCCACGATGTCCATCAGCCTGCCCAGGGTGTTGAGCATCTGCTGGTCGCCCGTCCTGAGCTCGGAGATGTTGGTTGCCTGATAAGTTAGGAAGCCGACCAAGTGTCTCCTGAGGTACCGCACCGGCAGGATGTAGGGTACTCCGTTCCAGACAACTATTGCCGTGCCCTCCGAGATCTTGACGAGCTCAGCCGGGCCGCGCCAACCTGGCTGATCTTTGCGGTCTGGTACTCTGTAGATGTCGACGGACTCTCCGACCTTCAGCTCCTGTTCGGGTCCGTGTTGTTGAACGCGTGTCCTGTTAGCTCGTGCAACTCTGTCCTCAACGATCGCTCGTGCCATCTCTGACTTCGCAAGGAGACGAAGCCTGACAGCTGCCTCGAACGGATCAGGGCAGTTCACGTCGGCGCTCTGCACGGAGTCCAGCGTGGTGGCCTCGAGGTCGTAGTAGTCGTTGGGTGTGAAGCCTAAGACCACTTGCGTCGCCGTCTGACCTCCATAGCTGACCATACTGTTGGAGACCATGGCCGCCTCCTGAACTAAGTCCGTGTCCGAGACCTCGAATCCCTGCGTGGTGCAAGTGCGCTTGAGCTTCATGGCACAGAGCCGAACCAGCTGAATCCAACGTTCCACCAGACCAGTCATTGTGTGGTCGTCGGTGCCGGCATATCGTCGCTTGATGTTCAGCTTGTCGCACGTCCTGGAAGAAAGTTCTGAGACGAGGCCGCCTTCCTGGTCCAGAACCATGATCTGCACGGGCCCGAAATATCTGATCCATGACCTCATCAAAGTAGTCAGTAGCTCCTTGGGCGTGCGATCTGCGACGATGTCCGCCACTTTGTATCTGGATAGTTCGTCTATGACCAGAAGCCACACCTTGTCCCACATGAAAAACAAGTCTAGCTGAACTCTGTGGTTGAAGCGTAGTGGTACTGTGATTCCAGCTCGTGGTTTTGTGAAAGGTCTGGCCAAGTCCCTGCGCACAGAACAGGCCAGACAGACCATTGTGATAACTGCGGCCAGCGTCTTGTTCCAGCACTCTGCACTCTTGAGGAATATCACCATGTCCGGCACGGGCGCGTGCCAGAACCTGATGTGAAAACCCAGCAACAACCGTAAGATCTCCTTCTTGTCGGTAGCCTCCTTCAGGCGAGAGACCATCTTGCTGAGATCGAAGTTGGGCTTGACGTCGTACCACTTCTTCATAGCAATCCCTGGCTCCTCCACCCTTTGCTTGCTCGTGATCCGCTTTCTGGCCGGCCTTCCCTGAGAAGGATCAGGATGAGGTGGAGGAGGTACCTCAACACCCGGAGCTCCCGGTACAGGTTGAGGTTCTTCTCCTGGCGGTGCTTCGTCAAGAGGATGCATAGCTGGCTCGTCTTCGTCGTGCTCTTGGGGCTCCTGCTTCACTTCGTCCTGCTCTTGGGGCTCATGTTTCACTTCGTCCTGCTCTTGGGGCTCATGTTTCACTTCGTCGTGCTCTTTGGGCTCCTGCTTCACTTCGTCGTCATCGGGTGCGATCTCAGGAGCCTCATCATCTTCTGCCTTTGGTGCTGCTGGTGCCTGTTGATCTTCATCATCTGTATACTGCGGTGCCTTAGGTGCCCGGGGAGCAGCCTTGCGCGGTGCCATCCTGCAGTTGCCCGGCTTGCGAGTGTGATATGCGTCCGTCTTGTTGCCGAGCCGGCACCTCTCGCACCCCCAGTGAATCTGGCGCCTCACGATCCTGATGATGTCCTTCACGATGGCATCACAGAAATTCTTTGGATAGACTGCCGCCTTGGCTGTGCGCTTGATGCCGTCGACTGCGCCAGTCAAGTGTCCGTGAGGCACCTTGCATCTGCAATGTCGCGTGCTCGCTCTCAGGGAAAATGTAGAATCCAGTCGTGTCCGTTTCCGAATTGGTTCGCCGAGCTCGTTGGTCGCACCGAATGAGCACTGGTCTGCCGCGTAGCTCCTCACGATGTTCATGTCGACCACGCCTGTGTAGTCAGACTTGCTCCAGAAATCGCTGTTGTGTGGATTCTCAACGATATGCTGCTGCTCGGTGTCCGCTGTCTGTTTGATATCATTCAGCATGAAGATGATAGCTGGTGCCTGTGATCTTCTCTCGCTTTCCAGAGCAGCCGGATCCTTGTGTCTGCTGGCAATGGACCATGGCTGACAGGTAGGTGCCCACAAGGTTGTGCCGATGTGGCATTTGCCGCGAAAAGTGCTCAGCAACCTCTGGTGGTGCTTGTCAGACATGTCCCAGCCATATCGATAGTCCACAGGAAAGCCAACCATGAGACCCTGCAGTGATACTCGCCGAGAGAACCTGCTGCTGCCGGACATGCGCTCCTGTACGTCCACATGGCAGATGCTCATGTGCTCCATCCAGCTCTCCAGGTTCTCGGGTGCCACAACAGGTAGTTGACTCTCGAAGTAGAACTCCTCCGGCATGGCCCGATAGCCCGTGTCGAGCTGCTTGGCTTTGTTAGTGCCCATCTTCTTGGGCCACATGTTGACACCAGTCCATCTTGATGCTTTGAAAGTTCGCCACCTTCTGTAGTAATCCTTGCTGTCCAAGTAGATCGTGTCGGTGTTGGTGCTGATGGCATTGTAGACCTCCGATCTCACTCTCATTCTACTCTCTGAGGTCTGTGCTTCTTCGTTCTTGGTTGCATCCAACTCCGTTGCTCCAGTCCTGGACAAGGCAATCGTCTCCTTCTTCCCGCTGGGCATGCCACCTTGTTGCGAGTCAGGTACATAGCTGCCGGCGTCCAATGTATTGGACAAGGCAAGCGTCTCCTTCTTCCCGCTGTGCATGCCACCATGCGAGTCAGGTACATAGATGCCGGTGTCCAGTGACTGATGGGCCTCGATCTGCTTGTCGTCCTTGTCTGCGTTTGCCATCAGTACCGTATCCAAAACTGTCGTGGTGCTCTTGGGTGTGTCCTCATCTAAAACTTTCGCCATGTAAGCCTTCACCGCCTGCTTGAGTCGATCTCGCTCGCGACCAGTGCCAGCCTGCGGGTCGTCGATCGGAAACAGGTAGTGGCCGGAGTCCGTGTAGAGAGCCCTCACGTAGCAGGTCGGCCTCACCTTGTTCCCGAGGCCGTCCAAGGTGTTGATGATAAGGACTCCGTCTCGATTTGGTAGGATGCCGGTGAGAAGGCCCATGGTGTTATTGATCATCGTCTCCAAAGGCATCAGAAGAGGGCATCGACTGCCGCTGCCACCGAGCATATCCATCGTGAAACTCGAGTTGGGCAGCGCGTCCAGGTTCAACGGTAACTTGCCCAAACCCAGTGATGGATTCGGAACTCCATCGATGCCTGACAGCTTGGCCGAAGAAGACTTCACGTCCAACTTCTGGCCTCGTGGCCACAGAAGTGCCTGACATACTTCACGCAACGTCTCGGTGCCTCCAAGACCTTTTGCCGCTCCTGGATCAATGATGATGCCGAGTCTCTTATCTCCACGCACTGAGTGATATGCCACAGAGCCGTCGTTCGTCGGGCCATCCTCCTCGTGAAAGATGTGATTGCTGAGGAATGACGTGTGCATGATGTCCGCGAACGAGCCCTTGGTAGGAGACCCAGTCATTTGAGACGTGCTTGAGGTGCTGGTCGTAGGTCGAGGTGATGTCGGTTGGCCAGCTTCTGCTTCTGATCTCTCTGTGTCGACAGGTACACTCTCACGCTGAGGAAAGTCGAATGCTCGCGTCGCTGATGTCGATGGTGTCCTGGTTGATCGTGATGCCTGAGCCGGAGCACGGGCTGAGGTACCAAATATATCTGAAGCAGCCGGTCGATCTTGGCGAAAGGGCGTCTCGGAGATAGTCTCCAAGAGAGATGTCTTGGGCTGGTGCTCCGTCTTCTGCTTGCCTTTTCCCTTCTTGCCCTTTTGACCTTTGCGAAATCGGCTGTAGGGATATCCGTAATGCTCCTCAGCTTCGTCGTCATCACAGACTCCATCCATCACATCACGATCTGCAGCCGGCTCGCCATAAGGTGCCTGAATACTCATAGTCATTCGCGTCGTCGTCCTGGTCCAGCTTGTATTCGGGGCAATCGTGATACACGGAAGCGTCCACTGGTGATTCTGGCGCATATGGCGATGGCGATGTTGGCAAGTCCCAGGAACCAGTACTGTGTGATGAGACCGATGGCGCTGACTGTCGCAAGGGTAGGTCATCGTACGCGGCCAGGTTAATCCTCGGGTCGTTGCCTGATACTCCAGCGTGAAAAGAGACCGTCGAGAACCCTTGACCAGATTGCTGATGGGCTTGTCCAGGTTGATGACGGTTGGCCGGACAGTCTGTGCTCTTGTGCCACTTCGAACCGCAAGTGCTACATCCGCTACCTTTGTTGCTGTCCTGAGTGTTGTGCTTACCGTACTTCTTGCCACCTTTCCTGTCGCCCCACATGCTCTGGTCCGTCGGCTCCTCGTAGTGGTTGCTCTTGTACCACCGTCCTTTCCGTGTCCAAAGCCACGACCACGAGATTTGCTGCGACCGCGTCCTCCTTTGCCTTTGCCACTCTTGCCTTTACCTTTCCGTCGAAAGCCGCCGAAACGGAAACGTCTCCTGAAACCGTTCATCTGGTACGCCTGATCCAACTCCTGCTCGTCGAGCCACGCCTCGATGTCGTTGGCCTCGTACCAGATGCCGTTGTCGTCGTAAGCTCCGTAGGTCGCCTCGCCAGTCTCAGTCCATTACTCGCGATAGTGTAGGCCGCTCTCCTCGTCATGTGTCCAATCTATCAACTCTACTCCTTCGTCGTCGTAGTCCTGGTAGTAATCCACGACATGGTCCGAAACTTGGTCATCGTCCATGTAGTGATGTGCGTGTCCACTGCCTGATGCCATCTCCTGCTTGGCAATCCTTGTTAACATTGAATACACGGTCTGAAACTGCTCCAGATCTCCGTCGATGTGAAGTTTAATGTCTGCGATGCGCCTGACAGGCAAACCACACCATTTGAACAACATGTGCGTCAGTCCAACATTGCTGATCGTCAAGTCCGCCTTGTCATTCGCCTCGGTATATCTCTCACGAAAACTCAATAGAAACTCTTGCAACGTCTGATTGCCACGCCTCGTGTCCAGGATTTTGTCAAGGTACTGTACTCGCCCTGCTTGTCCTGATCGTGAATCTCGAACGCCTCAGTCAACTTCTGCATCAGGTGACCAGCTCCACTTATGTCGGCTTGCTGTGTGATGTTCCCGTTGGCGTCTCGCTCTTCTGATTGCCGGGGAATTGAGAGGGCTGCGTCACCTGTGTGCTTCACTCCATCTCGTGTGATCTCCAAGTTCATCGCGACAGTGAATGCTCGATCCAACAATCTCGCCGCCATGGATGGTCCAGCCTCACGTTCGTCCAGCGGAGTCAGCCGCCACCATAGATGAAGTCTCTGCATGTAGGCCTTGAACGGATATGCGTCGTCGAACGGCTTCCATCCTGGCGGCACGAACCGAGTGAACTCCTGCAGTGATGCTGGCGTCTTGTAGTCTCCCATGCTTCTGACAAGAAACTCGATCAATATCTATGCTCAAAGATGCTTCGCGATACTCGTCGGCCCAGCGGACCCGGTAATGGTATTAACCTCCCAGCCTAGAAGATGCTGATCTCCGCGCTGAGGAGGTCGAGAGGGGTCACCTCGCGGGTGACGAGAAACCTGTGGGTGTCGTTCACCTCGTAGGTGTAGAACCCGATGTAGTCGTACACGGAGTCGCGCTGCGGGAGCGCGAGGCCGAGGAACTCGTTCCTCGATGGCGGCGCCTGGGGGCGCCGGCGCGCGCGGGGGGCCGCGCGTGGAGGGTAGGGAGCCGTAGCTCCGCTACCAAACTGAAATGTTTGTAGCTAGCGAACCCGCATCCTTGAGCATTCATGCGATCACGGTCGAATATCCTCTTACAACTAAGCCTGCCTGCATGCTACTAATCATACAACAGATACTACACTTGATCTTAGCCAAGAGGGAACACGAAATCTCACTGGGGGGAGAGGGGGGGAGGGGCGGGGGGAGGGGGGGGGGAGGGGGAGGAGAAGGGGGGGGGGGGGGGGGGGGAGGGGGAGGAGAAGGGGGGGGGGAGGGGAGGACCGAGGGCCCGCGCCGCTCGGCAGAGGGGTGCGGAGAAGCCGCGCCCCGCGTCGGGGGAGGCCGACGGGGCTGCCAAGCCGGGGCCCCCCGAGGCCGCGGCGCTCCGAGGGTGTTCCTCGGGGGCGGGGGCCCGCGACGGGGGGGCCGTCAATTTGGACGCCCGAAATGGGTACGGATTTTTTTTTGCACGACGAACGCCCCGCCGATCCACTCGTCCATATGTCCACCGCGGGCGTCAGGAAAAGAGCCAGAAACGATGCGAATCAGCCCTAAAACGTATCAGCGCCGGCGGGGAGAGAGGAGGGAGGAGGAGGAGGAGGAGGAGGAGGAGGAGGAGGAGGAGGAGGAGGAGGAGGAGGAGGAGGAGGAGGAGGAGAGGGTACAATGCCCAACAGCAAGTGCTATCCCAAACCAGCAGCGGCCGCTGTTGGGCGGGCGGCCTTCTGTTTCAAATGGACACAGGCCGCGGCGGCGCGGGCAGCGAGTCCTGTTCAACACGAACAGGAACTGCTGTTGTGCATCGCACCAATTCTTTCCGTACGCATGTCGGGCCTCCAGAGTCAAGATGTGCCCGAACCAGACGGACCCACCGCTGCCTGCGGCCGCCGCGGCAAGAGGCGGGCCAGGCAGGGCTTGCACGCCATGCGTGCGCGCGGTGCCTGCGTACACTCAAATCGGGCGTGTCTCCCTACAGGGGGGATTTCCGGCGAAAAATTAAAGAACTCTCCATACTGGTCAACGAATGTTTCAAACATTGTCCCTGGACTATTTGTTCCCCAACCAACCTGTGTTGTTGGGTCCTCGTTTCGAAAAAACGGTCCCCGCGTCTCCTCCTCCTCCTCCTCCTCCTCCTCCTCCTCCTCCTCCTCCTCCTCCTCCCTCCTCCCCTCCTCTCCCGTGCCCCCCCCCGCCCCCAGTGGGGTGTACCACATGCGCCCGCCACACCCAGCACGGCGCTTCGTGGCCCCATAGAGAGGTCCACCTAAGGCCCCAGTGGTGTGTACCACATGCGTCTCCCCCACCCAAGACAGCGCTTCGTGGCCCCATAAGGAGGTCCACCTATGGCCCCAGCGGTGTGTACCACATGCGTCCCCCCACCCAGGACAGCGTTTCGTGGCCCCATAGGGAGGTCCACCTAAGGCACCAGTGGTGTGTACCACATGCGTATCCAAGCCCAAGGGCCGTGCCCACGACAATGTTCCGAAATCCAAGTCGGGGCAGCAGCAGGGTCCCACAGTTTGAAGGGGGCTGGTAGGCCCAGCCAGCAGCTTCGCCTTAGGCGAAGCCAAGCTCCAGCTCTGTTGTACCGTAGTAACGATAGTCCCAGTAGGAGAGGATGTGCCATCTTAAGCAAACGGAACGTCCTTTCGGTCTCGATAGCGATTGTGTGCCTCGCGGTGAGGCACAGTCATATTTGGGCGGCCGGCCGCTTGAGCCGACGCGGCCGCGGGCGCACGCTCGCTTCCGCCCCTTGCGTCCCTCAGCTCGCTTTAGAGTCGGGGGGGGGGAGACGAAGCGTGAGCCCGTCGCCCCTATAAAGCAGGCGCAGCAGCTAATATACACAAGGACAGAAAAAGGGGCGGGCCAGAAGGAAGGTGGACCCGCTCGCAAGTTGCCTTGCTTGTACCGTTCTGTACTTGGAGTACTCCTCAGGCGGCGTCAGAACTGGATGTCTGGCCGGCCCGATCTGTAGTATGACTCTTCAGGTCATGTTTGAAGGCCTGTATGCCTCCCATGACTTGTAGGAGCATTTCTCTGTCGATGCTCCCCTTGGTGTGACCATCCGCGGTCATATCGCGGGTGTCGCACCACTGGATGCTGTGCACGATTCCACGCTCCATCATCTGTCGTATCCAACTGGTGTGTCCTAGAAGGGTGCGCGCAGTCGGTTTCTTCAAGTCTTTGCTTGACACGGACTTAAAAACAAAAGCAGCATCTATGGCCAAAGTGACCTTGATGCTCAGGCCACCCAACTCAAGTATATCTTTCAACTGAATGGGCGTGAGCGGCCCTGCGTGGAGCTCGTGCAGAGTGACAATCGTGGGATGTCAGTCCTCCAAATTATGGGCTGCTGCTAGTGCCTCTGCTGAATAGCCCGAGCGGACATGCAAGCGGTGAGACTTGCAGCGCGCATCGATCAAGTGAACGACATGTTTACCGGATGACGTGTTTCCACGTCGTAGCAGATTAGCCCCGCGAGTACCATAGCCTTTGACGTCGTCGTCGGCGTAGCCACACAGGCGTCGGTATCCTGAGTCGCTGTGCAGGTCGACCTCGCCCGTAGGAGTCATCCTGGTAGACGATCTTCTTTTGGCAGGCCTGCACTTTCCTGGTGATCGCGTTCAGTCGTCGCACTTTGATATTGGTCGGTTCTTGGACACGTTGTAGAGATAGAACATACACCATCAACCACACCTGGGTGATTAATCCATGTGCCAGCGCGCCACTGAGGCTGACGAACACGTCTGCAACCATCTTGGATGCCTGAGCGTCAGCGTCGGCGCCGGTAAGATCAGGATGTTGTATAGGACGGAGCTGTTTGATGTATCCATCTTGGTCCAAAGTGACAATGCCTCCCCCATCCTTGGTGTAAATCACAGCACAGTCGGTGCATGTCTGCTTGTTGAGCTCACACTTACCACAGGTGTCTTCTACGTACTTGACATACTTGTCGATGGTGTCCTCAGTACCAGCCATATTGATATCAACGTGTTTGGCCGTGAGCTGGTTGTTGCTCGTCTCGAACTCCTCGTCGTAGGACGCGGGTCGGAGACCAAAGCCTCTGGTGGCCCTTCTGAGTTTTAGTGAGACAGCCCGCGGTGCGTCTTTGGTGCCCGCGCCTGGTTTCATGCACTGCAGGCAGTGCTTTGACTCGTCGTAGTGTTCGAATCCTGGAGGCGTCTGAAGCACTGTGGCCGATCCAGGCGGCAGAGTAAATCACGCCACGCGTTCCTTCTCACCAGTAGCCTCAGCAAGCTCCTGATAGGTTAACCCCTTCAGGAAGGCCACGTTGATGTCGAGGGAAGCAATGAGCCATTGCTTCTTGCACCCTGCCGTGCTGGCGAGTAGCCTCTGGCTTGACCGTCGCGCTGTTCCCAAGAAGGTTTCTACGTCGAAGGCTTCATGGTCCATGAAGCTTCGGAGTACCAGGCGTAATCTGATGGTGCGTCCCATCTCGCCCCTCTTTCTCCGCGAGCTTCCATGTGTGCACGCATCTCGAAGTCATGCTGTTCGACGCTGTAGCTATATCTGGCATCTTGAAACATGTTGTCGAACCATGTCTGGAGTTCAGTGTAAAGGGCCTTCGATACTTTATCGGGATTCGCCTGGCTGTCAGCTTTCGCGAGGAGGTCGTCTTCCTTGACGACCGCAGCTCGCTTGGCAGCGGCGGCTACGTTTACTCGCATAGTGGTCACACGGTGAGCATCTAGTATCATGTGTTGTTGTTCGGACAAGACGACCTTTGACTTTCTGCCGCAACGCAGAGTTGAGTCCAGTCCGTAGTTGTCGTCTTCGACCATGGTACGTATTAAGACGTAGTACGCCTCCTCGGTGTCGGAATCGTGAGTGCGCCCCCAGTTCGGCAGGTGTCCTCGCTGCTCATCGGCTACAGTGATCAGCGCACTTTGATCTGGAACCATCTGTGTAGGCATGGTAAAGAGGTCCTCTGGTGGAGTTGCCTCCAGCAGTTCCCTTTCAGTTTGTAGTTCTGCCGACCGCACTTCCATAACATGTGACTCGAGATCGGCCTCTGATTCTTCGTAGATCGTAGAAAACCGCCCATCATCATGTGGTGGTTCGGCTTCTGAGGCTTCTCTTGTGGTTCCCTCCGGTGTCGGTGTATCCGCCACTTCCTCAAATCTTGTGGTGCCCTGATCAAAACCTGCTTGAGGTTTAGTGGACTTCAGGCATTGGATGATTCTCGAATGTGCTGATCCAGTTATGTCGTGTATATTCAATGCAATACCTTCTGCTTCATAAATGTGAAATCCTGGATTCACGTCGTTGTCATAGTGGACCAATGTGCAGCTGTCAGCAGAAGTAACCCGAGGTCGCTTATGCATGCTCTTAGCTAGCCTGACTGCAACTACATTCTCAATACGGAAGAAGTTTCTGATAAGGCACTGTAGAGCTAAATGTACCCTAGGAGATAGACGGCTTGCGCTCGTCATATGAAGCGCCCCTTTCTTGGTCGGCACATAGCCAAAGGTCAGAGCAGGTCTCCCCGCTCATAAACTGGCCACGAACGTCAGCACTGTGCGTAGTGCTGTGCTGTCGGAGCCAATCTCTCGGGCTATCAGTGCTTCAATATATAGTGAATGTCTTGCATCGCCGTATTGTACTTGACCAGCTCGGTTGCCCACTCGGATGATGACTTGACCTCGTTCGGGAGCATTCTTTACAGCTGGGAATGG